CGAGGTGTTTCATGTGTTAAAACTAACAGACTTTATGTAGGAAGAAAACTGTAGGGTTACGTCAATATAGATAGATAGATACTCTTTATTGTTGCCTCCGAAACATTACAATAGTAAACTTATTATAGATACAAACAATTACAAGAAATGATCAGAGTGAGAAAACAATAGGCAATATTATCGTTAAAAGCAATCTCTTCATTTTAATTTGTTGCAATTCAATTTGTCCTTTAGATACAGTTTAATAAAATAATAGATTTTGTTTATTTATTTATTTATTCATTAGTACAAATATGTGTACATGGCGGACTCAATGCTAAAAGCATTCTCTCTCAGTCAACCATAGGGAAGTGTCAGAATACTCGAATGCGGTACTACTAATTGTTGATATACATACATACTAAAATTACATATATATAAACGAATAAATATATATGAATAACAAATATACTTACACATATATGATATATACTATATTATACACGAAATTGAGAATAATATAAAGCACTTACTGCTCGGATAAAGTAAAAAAGTGAGCGTGAACGCTTTTTTGAAACACGGTTTAGTCGATAGTCTCTTAATGGCATCAGGAAGCGCGTCTTAGAGTCGTGAAGAATGTAGGAGTTATTATTTAGGAATTGTGATGGATGGGAATATATGGGAGATAGGAATGAGATATGTCAGTGAAATTACAAGGAACGGAGACATAACTCGGTAGTCCTTAAGAATGACAACGCATGAGGGGTACTGTGGGCATAATAGTATATTGCATAATTTTTACATGTTTTTCTTTTATGCAACTTAGAATATCAAACAAGCTGACGGCCCACCTGATTGAATGTGGTAACCGTCGCCTATAGACCTGAGCAATACCATGGGCATAACAGACTATACTGTTTCGCCCATGATACCCCCCATGTATTACTATTCCTGAGGACTCAGGTAGTATTTTTCTGTACTCTGTAAATTCACTGCCATATCTCACCTTTCAAACCGAAGCACAGCTATGCTAACACAACTGCTTCACGGTAGAAACACGAATGCGATATAGGTGCCCAAGCAAAGAACTTTTGTACAAAGTCTCTCTTCAAAGGTCCACTACTTTATTACTATTTTTATGAGAGTGAAGTAAAACACCGAGTCGTGCTCTTGACAGTTTATTTAATCCAGGCAGCAACATTGCCGCCTCTCCTAGTGTTGCCCTCGCGCAAATATAATATCGATAAAACATACATATACAAAAGTACTGTTCATATTTATAGACAACGGTCACTGTTTTTCATCACGTGAGCCTTTAGCTTGTTTACTATTTTATATGTCATTAAAACAACTTCTCGATTTTCATTTAAAAGTTTCCTCTTGTCGGTGCAACTAATTCATAAATCTTCTTCCAGCCGGCTCTATCCCAGGCCATATCCTTGACCTCCCGTGACCTGACCTGACCTGACGTGACACCTAGTGTTTCTTTTATCTGTCCCATGTAGTTATTCCTCGGTATTCCTCTTCCTCTTTTGCCCTCTATTTTTTCTTTTACTATGCTCTTTAAAAAATCGTCATATCGTATAAGATGGCTCAGCATTTTGCCTCTTCTATTCTACGTTCTAAAAAAAAACTACACAATTCAATTCCTTTTTTTGGAGCGAAATATACTTGTCATGTAATCACGCGGGTGAATTCACTTATAATATTTCTAAGCGACACGTTTTGTATTATTTTTTTTATTATTAAAAATAAATAATGTCACCGAATGGGAACACAAGTAATTGAAAATGCCAAAGGAGAAAAAATATTCACCTACCCTCTTTCCGCACGGTTGCCCGCTCACGGTACCCATAGGACGACCAGGAAACGATCACTCAATGCCACCTGTCAGGGACAGTCGCCGACGTCTAATCTAAAAATGTCCCGAGAAATTATACAAGATGAGTATATATATATATATATATATATATATATATATATATATATATATATATATATATATATATATATATATATATATATATATATATATTTTCTCTGCAATAAACAGCGTTCACATTCGTGATAAAACGACGAGATATTTCGCAAAAAAACATTAAATTGAAAATATTAGACTTCAGAATACGCAAAGTCTGTTTTCGGAACAACCATTTTGCTGACAGCCAATTTTTTGTTTGCATTGCGAATAAAAAAGCCATATTTAATCATAAAAATATATGGTATTAAGTTAATTCTGTTGATTGTAATAGAATTTGATATTTAAATTAAAAGTGAACGTACAAAAGCATTAAATAAATAAAGTTCGCACTAAAAGTGTAACTTTATATCTTTTCGGTACAGAACCCTAATGAAGTTAATTTGTATCAGATGCATGTGTAATTATATTTTTTTTTTATTTTATTTTAATATTACATTTGGAATCAACAGCTTATTTCTAGAATAATTAAAAATAATATATTTATACCATACATTAGCTAATTACAGATTCCCAATTTGTATACCAGACTATATTATGCTTATTTTTGGAGGGTAGGTTAAATTAAATAGAATAAAATAAAAAAAGAATATATATATATATATATACATATGGTCTCGGCATAGAATAGCCCACCCTTTCCTTTCCCGTAGGTGTCGTAAGAGGTGACTAAGAGAAGGCGAGGTAGCAGCGTCCCTCTTAAAACATCTCCAAAGCCTAACTGCGGTTGCCAACCAGCCAAGCGTGGCAACTACTGGAAAACTCACCAAGGGTACTCATGTTCAGCAGTGGACAGTTAACGGCTGATATGGTAAAGATGATGATATCGATTCTAAAAAGAACCTTGGAAACTAGGTCAGAATTGATTACGTCATTGCCTAACACAGCTAAAAATAATTACTACGAGAACACTCTTGCGTCACGGCAGAAACATGAATGGAACAGAATTATTCAAGCAGACGGCTTTTGTACAATACCTCCCTCTGGTGTTAATAAACAAAAACTATATTTTAGTACTATGCCCACATTTCAACATTTAACGTGGGATCCTTCCCACGCTGAATGTATACAAACCCACTACCGCCTCTGAGTTATATTTTTAAACGATTATACAATTAAACGATTTGAATTAGATTAATTTTCAATTTTCGTTTCGTTAATTCTATCCTATTTCAGTATGTAATTTTATTTTGGACTAGCTGTTGCCGGCGACTTCGTCTGCGTTTCCGTCGTTTTTCGTAAAATAAGTAGCCTCACGGTTCAGTTGTTTTGATGTAACAGACATATTTCCCTTCACTGCTCTGCACCTATTGATCGTAGCGTGATGAAAAGTATACTGTAACCTGCCCAGGAGTATGAAGAATAATTGTGCCAAGTTTCGTTAAAATCCGTAGAGTAGTTTTTGTTTCTATAACGAACATACATCACTAATCACGCCCTGATAGTTATTTTGGAAATATATTTCATGTACAGAATTGACCTCTCTACAGATTTATTATAAGTATAGATTAAGTTTAATTTATTCCTTGTCAACCCATACAGAAGTGAGTAATAGTGAGTCCTCAGCCGTTAACTGTCCACTGCTGTAGGCCTATCCCATAAGGAGAGTTTTGCCAATATTTGCCGTACTTGTCAGGCGGAGGGTAACCATAGTAAGACTTTGGTATATGTTTTATAAGGGACGCTGCTGCCCATCTCTGAACCATCAAGATCTCTTAGTCGTCTCTTAGGACATCGACAGGAAAGAAATGGATGGTCCAATTTATGCCGGGACCACAAGGCAATAAGTGAGCTCTAACTAAATATTTTGGTATCCTAAGTAAAGTAAATAAGAATAAAAAAGTTGGCATTTATATTGCGTCACTATCTAAAGTGTATGGAAATTGTCCTAAAATAATTTTACTTAAAAACCAATTTCAATTAGTGCAGATAAGTATTTTATTTTAGTTTGATGTACCTATTCTTGCCTTGATACTAATTTTTACCAGGGGGAGACTTTGTACAAAAGTCGATTGCTTGGGTACCTCTGTCTCATTCGTGTTTCAACTGTGAAGCAATTGTGTTTGCATGGCTGTGTTTCAGTTTGAAGGGTGGGATATGGCGTGAATTTACTGGGTACGGAGGAATAACACCTGAGTCCTCAGAAATGGCAACGCATGGGGGGTATCATGGGCGAAACAGTATACTCTGTTATGTCCATGGTACTGCTCATGTCTATAGGCGACGGTTACCACTTTCCATCAGATGGGTCGTCAGCTTGTTTGCCATTCTAAGTTGTATAAAAAAAAAGGAAAAAGAAAAGATTTAAATTGTTCTAATTATTGATTATTGTTCACGCCCACGGTGGATTAATTTTGTTAACTAAAAGGTCTGAGTCGAAGGAAACAGAGATTAGCTATGGCCATCTTCCGACATATATAATATATGACATATATATCTAGACCCAATGAGAAGGTGTTTTAGTCATGAATAAATATTTACTAATACCTTACTATTATTATCAAATGTAAAAATTAGTTTTTTTTTTTTTATGTTTGTTTGTTTGTTTGTTACCTCTTGGCGCCTATTTGGTATACACGTACTAATGTTAAACGAAGTAGGCCATAGGCTACTTTTTATACTGAACAGTGAATATACCCTAGTAACGCGAACGAAGTTGCGGGTAAAAGATAGTAAATAATCACTTCCCATTTAAGCTTCTACTACTGGTTACTCTCTTTGGGTCATAGATTACTATTTGCTCTTCTATTGCAGTTGTTTTATTTAATTGTTTTATATAGTAATATTTTATGTATTTATTTATTGTATGTATGTATTTATTTATTTAATGTATTATGTGTATGTTTATATTATATGAATTTATCAAGTATTGCCTTATTTTTTCCTCTGTTCAAAAATGCACCGCCTACGTATTTCTCAGCTTGCCCAATGGTTGACTGGTAGAGAACAGCGTTCGGTGTTAAGTCCGCCAAATGTACATGGAATCTTACTGTGTATTAAAGTTTAAATAAATAATATTAATATTTATTCTTTTCTTTCGCAGGGTTTAAGGTTAATGAAGGAGAGGAAGAGGGTAGCGTGGATACTGTTGCTGTTAGCAGTACTGTTCGCATTATGTTGGATGCCATACAACATAATGCAGTTACTGCTGGATATCAACGCAGTAGATCCGAAGGATCTTAGTATTTATTTACCATACGCTTTATTTATAGGTAAGTGTGTGTACTATGTATACACACACACACACACACACACATACACGTACATACACATATATATAATATATTAAATAGTACACAGATAATCACCGCTATACAATTCCATTGGAAATTGTATAGCGGTGATTATCCACACACAGTCCAGCCTGTTTGCCATCATACTCAGGATACTGTTGGCGCTGTCACGTACTCAGCGCACCAGGGATTTTTTTTTTGTTTTTTATACAAATTAGAATGGCAAACAAACTGCCGGCCCTCCTGATGGAAAGTGGTAACCGTCGCCTATAGACTTGAGCAGTAGCATGGACATAACAGAGTATACTGTTTCGCCCATGATACCCCCTATGCGTTGCCATTCCTAAGGACTCAGATGTTATTCCTCTGTACCTAGTAAAATCACGCCATATCCCACCCTTCAAACCGAAACACAGCCATGCAAACACAACTGCTTCACGGTTGAAACACGAATGGGACAGAGGTACCCAAGCAATCGACTTTTGTACAAAGTCTCCCTCTGGCACCTTTTTCGCATCGTGGCGTAAAAACAATCTACACGATGCTCTGCGAACATCCCCGACGCGCTACAGAATCGTGACAGCCTCATCAACACCTTGAATGCATCGTTATATTGGAATAGCTTAGAATGGGCCACTCCATCTTTCCCCATGAGTGTCGTAAGAGGCGACTAAGGGAACTTAACGGTCGAGAGATAGGCAGCAGTTTCCTTCATTGTCATAAGCGAACTGCGGTTGCCAAACCGCCTGCCAAGCGTGGTAACTACTAGCAAAATCTCCCCAATGGTAAACTGTCATATCGCTCCTATTTCTTATGGTAGTCTATGAGCAAGGCTCATGTTCAGAAATGGACAGGTAATAGCTGAAATGGTGATGATGATGAGTACCATATTTTCTAGTTTTACTATGTATTAATACTATAGCTCCTGTTTAGTATATTGCCATGTGGTTCCGGCATAGAATAGGGCCATTCCTTCCCGTCCTCCATTGGCGTTCTCTAATCCCATTCCGTGGGTGTAGTAAGAGGCGACTAAGAGAGGACATGGGATGGGCAGTGGCGTTCCTCTTAAAACATCTCCAAAGCTTAACTGCCGTTGCCAATTCACCTGCCAAGCATTGCAAATTTTACTGGCAAATTACTGGCAAAACTCCCAAAAGGGAAGGCTATTGGCTAAGGAAGTGATATTGGCAGCATCACAAAACATAATGTAAAAGTATATAAACTATATTAAATGTTACAATTAATTTGTAATACTCTACTAGGCTATGGCAGTATAGAGGATCTAACAACTTATGTTTACATTATACCGTTTACATATTACTAGAGGGAGACTTTGTACAAAAGTCGATTGCTTTGGTACCTCTGTCCCATTCGTATTACTACCGTGAAACAGTAGCGTTTGCATGACTATGTTTCGGTTTGATGGGTGGGATATGGCGTGAATTTACTGGGTACAGAGGAATAACACCTGAGTCCTCAGGAATGGCAACGCATGGGGTGTATCATGGGCGAAACAGTATACTCTGTTATGTCCATGGTACTGCTCATGTCTATAAGCGACGGTTACCACTTTCCATCAACTGGACCGTCAGCTTGTTTGCCCTTCTAAGTTGTATAAAAAAAAATAACGACCCGGTTCGGCTTCGCATATTTATTTATAAAAATAAAATAAAATCTATGTTACACGTTAATAATGGCGTCGATTCTGAGAAATTTATCTGAGCCTTATTTCTAAAATTAAAAGATCAATTTGATACCAGCAGCTAAATTTTTATTCTAAGGCTCAATTTGAACTGAAGTTCCGATAGATTAAAATAAAAATTTATTAAGTTCATCGTTGTATTCGGCGAGTCTGTGGTTATACCCGGAAGGCTACAACGCCTTGTATATGGTATCTATTATAATAACAATTTTAGATTACTGTCGCGGCTCCCTCACTTCTGTCGTGACTCAGCGATGCTTGCCGAAGCTCGTACAAATAGTTTTGATGCAGTCTAACGTAAAAATACAGCTTTATTTATTTATTTATAGGAACACCAATATCATATTAAAAAAAAAAAATCACACAGATTGAGCTAGCCCCAAAGTAAGTTCGAGACTTGTGTTATGGGATACTAACTCAACGATACTATATTTATAATAGATACGTATATAGATAAACATCCAAGACCCAGGCCAATCAGGAAAAGATCGTTTTCCATCATGACCTGGCCGGGAATCGAACCCGGGGCCTCCACGTCGCAGGCAGGCGTGTTGACCGCTGCGCCACGGAGGACGACAAATTAGGCATTATAAAATATAAAACAAACATTAAATACAATATTAATGCACACGCCTATTAAAGGTATTCATAGCATTTGATTTAACATAATTATAGAGTATGAAATGAAGTAAACATTTTTAGGGAATTGAATAATTCTAGACTACAAATATTTTAAAAATTGCGTTATTAGTTATGACAATATACATGTAACCTGAGTTGTGAGCAATATCAGTAAATACGATTATAACTGAATTAAATTAACAAATATTAAAACAGCTATGTTTTTACATAGAATACGTGGGAGTGGTAACAGTATCGTGAACATGTTTGTAAATGAATTACATAGTCCTCTCCCCATCATCCTCAAGCATCCTCACGCTAGCTGAGAGTACTAGATCGTTATTAGTGATTAAGTATTAACGTTTTAAGTATACTCACTAACAAAAATGGGCCGAAGTTGTCTAAAAGAAATTAATTAAATTAAATTATAAACTTACTTTATTTTGGTCCATGAAACTGTAGTTTTGCAAAACTATCAAATTAAAATATTTAGATAAGATATAATTTTAGAGAAATGATGCGACGTAATCACTCTAAAGATAACTCTCTATAAATGAGAGAATCATTAAAATCAGTTAAGTTTTTTTTAGTTTATTCGTTGTACACAAAAAGTCTAATCTTTCCTTTTTATAATATTAGTTTAGTTGTATGATTATTTGTAATAGAAGTCGTATTATATTTTATTATAACAGATCCATTGATTCGTCGATTGAATAGCGTGAAACAAACGGCATTTTCTTACCCTTGTCTCTTTTTAGACAGATGGACTAGATCCTGTTTATATTTCTTGATATATGAAAAATACTAAATACATTATAAAAATGAATATAAAATAAGAAATGTCTCCATTCTTATCCTTATATACAAAAGTAAAGGCGATAAGGCAGCCTTTTGTATAATTTCTTATTACAGTTAAATGTATTGACTATTTTATAAATGGTGCAATAAAGTGTAAATGAATGAATAATTGAATGATCGAATGAATGAATGAATGAACGAACGAATGAACGAGTGAATGGACGAGTGAATGAATGAATGAAAAATGAATGAATGAATGAATAAATGACGGAATGAATGAATGAATGACGGAATGAATGAATGAATGAATGAATGAACGAATGAATGAATGAAAAAATGAATGAATGAATGAATAAATAAATAAATTATTAACATCATTATCATCAGTCTTTCACTGTCCACTGCTGAACATAGGCCTTCCCCATAAGGGGAGTTTTGCCAGAAGTTGCCACGCTTGGCAGGCGGGTTGGTAACCGCAGTAAGGCTTTGGTGATGTTTTAAGAGGGACACTGCTGTCCCACCTCTCAATCATTAAGTTCTCATAGTCGGCTCTTACGACACCCACGAGAAAGGAAGGGGTGGCCTATCCTATGCCGGAACCACATGGTATTATTTATTATTTATTATGTTGATATAATAACAGCTTAACTAATAAATCAACAACATATTCACTATTGGACCAGCTATATGACTAAAATATATAGATATTATTTTATATTACCCTCCCCTAATATAGAGTCTACAAGAGGGAGACTTTGTACAAAAGTCGTTTGCTTGGGCACCTCTGTCTCATTCGTGTTTCAACCGTGAAGCAGTTGTGTTTGCATGGCTGTGTTTCGGTTTGAAGGGTGGGATATGGCGTGAATTTACTGGGTACAGAGGAATAACACCTGAGTCCTCAGGAATGGCAACGCATGGGGGACTACGCATGCATAATGAGTTTTTTTTTTATACTACTTAGAATGCCAAACAAGCTGACAGCCCACCTGATGGAAAGTGGTAACCGTCGCCTATAGACATGAACAGTACCAAGGACATAACAGAGTATACTGTTTCGCCCATGATACCCCCCATGCGTTGCCATTCCTGAGGACTCAGGTGTTATTCCTCTGTACCCAGTAAATTCACGCCACATATATAAAAAAAAAATATGTATAGATGATTAAAGATTCAATTTAAATATAATAAAACTTAATAAAAAGCAAATAATTATTCAAATTGGCACAAAATAAAATGTAAGTGCCTAATACGTTCTAGGGAAATTGCTTACGGCTTTATTATAATTTGTTATAGACTTTCCAGAAAATATTCAAAGGTTGTATAAAAAGATTATTTTTGAAAGCTTATTACAAGATCGACGAATACTCCGGTGACAATACCGTCGGTCTGTGTATGAAGTAAAATTAATGATTTTAGCTTATATGTGATATTTTATTAGAAATAGCTCCTATAATAATTATTTTCAAGCGACTTTTGAAATGAGAACGAGGATTCATTTATATTTTTTTTTTTTTTACTAATCTTATAAATGTGTGAATTTGTATGTTTGTTACCTCTTTGTGTTCAATCATTATGGAATTTGGTAATTTTATCCTGGTCAGTGAAGAGGGATGTTCAGTCAGGCGGACAGTGTTATAGGTAAAATCTAGTAATAACATAGACACAATTATTTCGCTATCATCATCATCATCATCATCAGCTGTTAACTGTTCACTGCTGAACATAGCCCCCACTCTCCCATATACTTCCGTAAGGAATGATTTTCCGTAACTTTCCATATTAGCTATCAATGTCCGACCGCCATTTTGCTCACGCATCTTTTACGTCAGATGTTTCATCTCTAAACGAGACATCTTTAGATATTTTTTTTTGATACAACTTAGAATGGCAAACAAGCTGATGGCCCACCTGATGGGAAGTGATAACCGTCACCTGTATACATGAACAGCACCATGGACATAACAGAGTATACTGTTTCGCCCATGATACCCCCCATGCGTTGCCATTCCTGAGGACTCAGGTGTTATTCCTCCGTACCCAGTAAATGCACGTCTTAAACCACCCTTCAAACCGAAACACAACCATACAAACACAACTGCTTCGCGGTTGAAACATGAATAAATTATTAAATCGCTACTCGGAACCTAGTGTTAACCGTTTGGCACCTAAACTGCGAAAATAGAATATGTGTAATATTAGAAAAGATTTAAATTCGAACAATCTAATATTATTTTTCCGAAGTATCCGAAGGTCGCCTTTGATATTTCCTTGTATATATTACATGGATGTCCGAGGTCACATAGATTTGTACTCTGGCCTTTGTCTGTATAGTTAAACTGATTTCTCACGGGGAAACTTTAAGCTTACTTAATCTTTCTTAAGCTTTGTTTTCTTTCCGGCTTAGCGGTAACATACATTTCGGAAATTCACCTGATATAAGGGAATATACTTAATTACTTTTAAATAAGACATAATAAAAATTCGACCCTAATCGGAAAACACCTAAAATAAATTTATAATTAGGGTTTACAAATAAGTAACTAGTTTTTTTCCCGCAACATCGTCCGCATGATCGGAATATATACCAGTTGGTGGAGTCATAAAATGCTAATCATCATTACATCAGCCTTTAACTGTCCACTGCTGAACATAAGCCCCCCCCCCCCCCTTAGGGGAGTTTTGCCAGTAGTTGTCACCGTTGGCGGTTAGCAACCGCAGTTAGGCTTTGGAAATGTTTTAAGAGAGACACTGCTGTCCATCCCTCACCCTCCCTTATTCACCTCTTACGACAACTACGGGAAAGGAAGGGATGATCTAATATATTATATTATATATTCTATGCCGGGACCACAGGGCGACAGTAGTTTTGCGTAATGCTGGAAGCATAACAAAGCAAACATAAAAATAAAAGGAGAAGGGTTATTAGTAATGGGGACTATAAATCTCCATTGTTAGCAATATACCCTGTCAAGTCGACATCTTCGCGTTTCCCCCTGGAAAATATCGTTATTATTTATTCTCAAATGCGTCCAATGGGCCAACTGACCTGCCTTTTTATCCTCACCTATCTTCTCTCATGGATGTCCTGCTAGTGTATACCCATAGCGCGAGCGGGGTTACTATTTCATTATCATCAATTAAAAAAAAATATAGTGTTAGATAAAACCTACTTTTTTAAGCAACTTAGAACGGCAAACAAGCTGATGGTCCACCTGATGCAAAGTGATAACTATCGTCTATAGACATGAACAGCACCATGGACATATGCCATGGATATCCTTTATGCGTTACTAAGGTATTATGCCTCCATACCTTGTAATTTCATACCTTTATTCCACCGTTCAAACTAAAACACAGCCATGAAAACACAACTACCAGAGGTAGACTTTGTACAAAAGTCGATTGCTTGGGTACCTCTGTCCCATTCGTGTTTCTACCGTGAAGCAGTTATGTTTGCATTGCTGTGTTTCGGTTTGAACGGTGGGATATGGCGTGAATTTATAGAGTAAAGAGGAATAACACCTAACTCCTCAAAAATGGCAACGCATGGGGGGTATCACGGGCGAAACAGTATGTGTGTGTACTGCTCATGTCTATAGGCAACGGTTTCCACTTTCCATCAGGTGGGCTCTTGTTTGTGGCATCTTGTTTGCCATTCTAAGTCGTATAAAAAAAACTACTTCAAGTTTGATTTCTATTGTTCTAATTAATACCTCTCATTAATTTTTTCTTAGATAAATATTGTCTATGTATGTCTAGAGTTACAATTTTGTTACAATTTGTCTATGCTTCGAGTCTGTGACACATGACAGTTTACGAGCCTTTCGAGCGTTTAATGTTTTGATTGTCAATTCATTAATTGTATTGTATTTTTGGTCGAGTAGCCACCATCTTGGAACGACTTCATTTTTGCATTGTCATACCTAAACTAATAAATGAATCCAGCAATTTAATCATCATTTTTATTTCACAAATAAATAGTTTCCAAATGGAACACAATTTATGATTAAAAGAACTTGGCTTGAGTGAAATTCGACCGAAATTATACGGAATGTTACATCTGAAAAGATTTAATTTATTTATTTAAGTGGTGATGGTATCTGGATGGTTGGATCTGTGATGGTGTATGACTCATCATATTAACCTTTAACTGTCCACTGCTGAATATAAGCCTTCCCTTTTGGGGGTTTTGCCAGTAATTGCAATGCTTAGCAGGTGAATTGGCAACGGCGGTTAGGCTCCGGAGATGTTTTACGAGGGACGCTGCTATCCATCCCGTGTCCTCTCTTAGTCGCCTCTTACGACACCCACGGTATGGGATACGCCTGGGTGGAGGGGGGGGGGTCGTCAGTAGTTACCACGCTTAGCAGGCAGATTGGCAACGGCAGTCAGGCTTTAGAGATGTTTTAAGAAGGACGCTGCTGCCCATCCCTCGCCCTCCCTTATTCGGCTCTTACGACACCCACGGGAAAAGGGTGGTCTATTCTATGCCGAGACAACACGCCCATATATATTTATGTATATTCAAATTTTTATCTTTTTTATTTAGAGGCTTTTATCCTATAAGTATATGTCACCCTCATCATACCCTAATTTAAAAAAAAATACTTCACATACTTAAAACATTAATACATAAATAAATAATACATAATATCATATTCAAATTTTAAATAAAAAAATGTTACATTACTTTGTTTTGTTTGTGCAGGTCATGCTAATTCGGCAATAAATCCGATAGTGTATTGTTTGATGACGAGAAACTTCCAACGTTCAGCCCGGAAGTTGTTGTGCGGTCGCGGAGTGTGTAAGCAAGCTAAGTTTACTGTGAGTACGTTTGTGTTATATGTTACATTTACCGACCGACTTAAAGTTTTTAAATCATAGTAATTGTATTGCTACAATTAAAGTAGATTTTTTTTTGGGATAATTTTTTAACAGCCATTTTCTAGCAATATACTAAAGTATATATGATAGAGTATGATAGATCATATATAGATGCATCGTGATTATTTTTTGTTAGATTCGTCGCGATGGGCTAACTGAACTGCTTTTATTTTCACCTGTTATCTCTCACTGATGCCCAGTTAGTGTATACCGATAGCTCAGGCGTTACCATGCCATTTTCACGCATTAAAAAAATCAAACATTCATCGATATATTCTTACAAACTTTTACATGATTATATCATAATATTAATTAGACATGATTACTAGTTATGAAGACATAACTGCTACAGTAAATTTTATAATGGCCACGGTGATGTTAATACCTATAAGACTAGGTTAAAGTCCCACCTATAAAGTAAAACACCCCTAAAATCAAAACAGCTATTTTGCGGCAGGAACACGTGTAAAATATTTAACTATACAATTATGCTTTTATTTAAATAAAATATCACTACTATCTACTTTTAATTTACACTAGTGAAGAATCAGTGTGGGAAGATACATAGGAATGAAGTTAAATTAATTGCTATACAATTTATGTATGAGTGGGTTACAGCGACAAATTAAGTGTTACAGCATTTCTTCCTCATTGTGACAAAATGTGCAAATACTTTTTGGGCAAAAGCATAGTTGGGCCATTTGCTTTTTTAGCTTGCAGTATCCAGTGAGAGCTCTTGTTAATACACATATTGTGTTTAACCAAAAGGGTTAATTTCTTAGTTAATATATTTTTTTTATAATCCCTTAATAAGGAATGTCGAGTGATTTAAGCTTGGAAACAATAGCCTGTTATTATTTGCTATTTTTAAGCGAAATACCTCCTTTGGAAAACACACTTTATATCCTGAGGAAATAAAATACATCGCTGCAAAGGACATATTGAAATTCCTATCAAATTCAAATTCAAATTCAAATTCAAAAATCATTTATTCATGTAGGACATTTTAGCCGCTTATGAACGTCAAATTTTTACATTATAATTTTATTTTTTTCCCTACCGTCCAGTTCGGTATATAGATCCAACTGAGAAGAACTGGCAAGAAACTCAATTGAATTACTTTTTTTTTAAAAGCCAGTTTATTTACAATGTATATTTATATAGGTGTCTATGTCTAACATTAAATGAAAATTCAGTGCATGAACAACTATTGCCATGCACACTCGTCATTCAAGTAATCGTTTAGTGAGTAATAGGCTTTGCTCAGTAAATATGATTTAACAGATGTTTTGAATTTATTTAAGGGTAATTCCAACATATCCTTTGGTATCTTATTGCAAATTTTTATACCTATTCCCATAAAAGACCTATTAACTTTTTCTAAACGATACTTGGGGACAGCAAGTTTGTCTTTAAATCTAGTATTAATATTATGAATATTGCTGTTTTTTGGAAATAAGTCAAGATTTTTATGAACATATAGGATATTTGAATATATAAATTGAGAAGCAACGGTGAGAATATTTGCCTCTTTGAATTTCTCTCTTAATGAGTCACGACTCTTCATACAGTAGATTGCTCGAACGGCACGTTTTTGTAATATGAATATATTCTTAATATCTGCCGCTTTTCCCCATAGTAATATTCCATAAGAGAGTAAACTATGAAAATAACTAAAATAGACTAATCTAGCAGTATCAGTATCAGTGTACTGTCTAACCTTACGCACGGCAAAAGCTGCTGAACTTAGTTTCGCTGCAAGGCTTTGAATTTGTGCACCCCATTGTGTTTTATTATCTAGTGTGATTCCTAGAAAGACAGTAGATTCTATAAATTCGAGAGATTCGTCATTTAATTTAATATTGCAATTAGTATTAAAACTTTTAGACAGAGAGAAATTAACACATTTTGTTTTTTTGGCGTTTAACATAAGATTGTTAGTTGTAAACCAGTGCAGGAGACGCCGCAAAGCACTATTTACATCGTCATAATTATTAGTCATTCTATTAACTTTAAAAATCAATGAAGTATCGTCTGCAAATAATACTATGCCGCATCTATCCTGCATGGCATATGGGAGATCATTAATGTAAACTAGGAATAAAAATGGACCGAGAATAGATCCTTGAGGTACACCCATTTGCACAAGTGACCCGTCAGACGTAGCGTTGCTAATCTTCACTTTCTGTATTCTATCAGATAGATAAGATTTTATTAAATTTAAAGCATTGTCTTTGACGCCATAAAAAGCAAGTTTTTTTAGCAATGTATTATGATCAACGCAATCAAAAGCCTTAGAAAGGTCACAAAAAACACCTATCACATCCATTTTAGTTTCCCATGCAGCAAATACGTGTCTAAGCAACTCTGCACCTGCGTCTGTAGTTGAACGACCTTTGGAAAAACCGAATTGACTATTGTGGATTAAATTATTTAAATTGAAATAACTGACAAGTTGCATAAGGATTATTTTTTCAAAAATTTTACTGAGTGCTGGGAGTATGGATATAGGTCTATAATTTATTGGGTCACTCCTATCTCCAGATTTAAAAAGCGGTATGATTTTACTAATTTTCATTATGTTAGGAAATTTACCTTCACTTTCAAATTTTCTATCACTGATAGGAATTAGCAGCGAACGTTAATAAAGAGCGAAGCACAAAAGATCATAGAAAGGTCGCAGTGTCACAGGTTTTTCTGCTTGAAAATGCTCGTATCTCAATAATAAGTTAAGTGGAAATCAGTAAGCCATGCTTTGGCCTACTTCAATAGCTTTAAATGATAGTTTAATTAAATTTATACTTCTTTACAGTGGCGGTGTACGCAGAAACCGGATGGGTCTTCGAGCGACTACGATCTATACCACGAGCCACATAAAAGATGTTATTTACAGGTAATCATTACCAAACTTAATGATATTATAAATGTGAAAGTTTGTAAAAATATATTTGCTTATTTGTTAGTCACGCTTAAACGGTTGAATGGAATTGAATAAAAATTTATACAGATTGCCCACGATTACTTGACATACATTTCCAACTCCAAAGAATTAAAAATGAATGAGTAAAAATATTTAAAAAATGGCCGTGTGATCCCGGCATAGAATAGGCCACCCCGTCCTTTCCTGTGGATGTAATAAGAGGCGACTAAAGAAATAAATAAATAAATTGAAGGATGAGTAGTAGCGTCTCTCTTAAAACATATCTCAAAGTCTAACTGCGGTTGCCAATCCACCTGCCAAGCGTGGCAACTACTGACAAAACCCTCTATAGGAAGTTTAGCTCAATTAAATATCATGAAATTTCGCGAATAAATATTATTTGAAATTGATAAGAATCAATATATCTCTGACAAGTGAACGATGTCGCGGGAAATCGTTAGTTATTATTACGTTCGGTTGGCAACATATTAATATATATGTTAATAGAATTTTGCCCATTCTATTGAGCGTTGAATGAGAATGAATAGTATTATAAATTCTCTAGTATTAACATTTACAATGAGTTATTTTACACGTGTCGTCTATGGTATATATTAACTTTTTATTTTGCCAATGTAGGTCGATCCGAGTAAACAATTCGGAGTTTATAAAATTAACTACCGAAGCTGTTTATTTTTTATAAAATCCCGTTTATACTTTCACGGATTTAAAATTTTGATTTATCTTTCACGAAGCTTAACTGTAACCTTCATTGAAACACTCTTCGGAATTTTTAAACTCATCGACAGGAAACTTAATATTTAATTATAAAATAAAGTCTATAACACGCGTACATATAAAATATTGCAATCGATTTTGATAATACTCGTTTAAAAAGTAAGTTCAAAAAAATATTTCGAATTAAACTATGTTTTTCAATATACTTAAAAAAATATATTACCGAATTGGAAACCTTTTTAATTCGATTGTTTTTTTTTTGTGTGTTTGTTACCTCATAATTTTGTCAGTTATAAAGAGATTTAGAAAATTCTTGTTTTAACTGATATACTTACAGATTGATATCATAGAATTTTTATTAAAATCAATTTAGTTTTTAAATCAATATAATTTGTTTTTCCACAACTGAGGTCGGTTTTTTTTATGGAACACATTTTTAATTATACACAATAATATAATAATACAATATAATGTGTAAAATTCTAAATTTATTTATATTTTATTGTATTTGGATCATCTTCCTACTCATAAGGGTAACCCAATTATTATTTGGAGTCGGCGTATTATGTTTTTCTCTTCCATTCTTCTCTATTCCCAGTAATTTCCGCATTTACTCACATTCTGGTCATATCATCTTTCATACAGTTCATCCATGTCTTTTTAGGTCGTCCTCTGCCCTTATAACCATGTACATTCATACTTATTATCTTTCTTAAATCATTCTTCTCATCCCTGCACATCACACGTCTATACCAGGACAGACGGTTGCTCCTTGATTTTCTATCACGGGCGCTACTTTTATACTTCTTCTGATATATTCTTTAGGGGGGAAAGGGATTTTTAGTAATGGAGTCTAACTGACCCATTGCCAGCAATACACCCTATCAGGTCAACCTGCACGCGGTTTCCCCTGAAAACCATCGTGGTTAATTTTAGTGAAATTTGTCACGATAGGCTAACTGACCTGCTTTCATTTTCACTTGTCATGCCTCACTGCTGCTCCGCCGGTGTATACCGATAGCGCAGATGGTGTTACCATTCCATCATCAGCTTAAAAAAAAGATATACTCTTTATTGAATTTAGATCAATAAAGATATTTCTGAAATCACGTAGTTGAATGTAATAACAACTTGATATTAAATAGATGTCAAAATATTAGTAGGGTTTGTGAGAAATGAAGAATCACTCTGTTTACAGGCGTGATTTCGAACTTCTTTCATTGTATGAGAAAATTTGGAATTTCAGAGGGTTTCATGGTCGACCCTAGTTTATTTTTGTTTTAATGTCATTCTAAATTTGACTTTTTTTTTAAATATTTTAATTTATTCGAATGGATGTTATGTATTATATTATAACGCCGTGTAAGATAATTTAGAGGTGAAATTAAAAATAGTAAAAGAAATTTCAAAAAATAACTTGAACTTGATATGTCGTTATCCATTTTTTCCATTCCCATGTTTCTTTGAAAAAAAGGTAATCAATTTTACCGTTAGAATACTCTCACTGGTTGAATCATTACCTTGAAATATTGCTAATGGCGTCAATGTCACCTTATAGCGTCATTCATTTCCATATGTCACACAGAAATTTGCAGAAAAAACTGCGAGGTGAAAATTTTTTCCATGCACTGGGAAGGCTTTTACGCATATTTCATATTATTTACAATGCGATCAAAATAAGAATAGGAGCGTTACATGACCTCGACCTTGTCAACTATCACTTGCAAATAATGCTTTCATCGGTTTGATGCAACTTTTTTTCAAATTAACGACGAACAAATTTGAGCATTCCATGCTGACTTAGCAGCTGGATAGGCTATATTAATAAGGTCAAGGGTAAAATTTTTCTCTCGATTTTCGTCAATGGACAATTTTTTTATACCACTGAGGTGGCAAACAGGCATTCGGCCCACCTGATAGTAAACGGTTACCATAGCCTATTAACGCCTGCAACACCAGAGGTATTACGCGCGCGTTGCCGGCCCTGAAGAAACCTCTTTATCCCCTTTTTGAAGAACCCCATGCTGTAGTCTCTTGGGAAAACCTCGGCAGGGAGCTCATTCCATAACCTGAGTGTTCGTGGGAGAAAACACCTCTGAAACTGCATTGTACGCGACCATTTAGGCTGTAGGGTATGAGGATGAACTCCCTGTCGATGGCAAGCCGTACGATGATAGAAAGTGGCCGTAGGCATTATATTGAATAATTCCTCTGAGCAAGGTAGAACACGCAGAGTGAGGCAAAATCTCTCCTAAGACTTAAGGGTTCGATACCACTTGCAAGCCTGGAATCATCGACAATTCTCATAGCTAGTCGTTCTTTTATACTAATTAACACTCACAGGATGCTAACGTATTCAACGATGCTAACGATTTCACTCTGTATAAACTTTTTTCTTAACCGACTTCAAAAAGAGGAAGATTCTTAATGCGGTTATATTTTTTAAGTTTCTTACCTCCAACTCCCTGATTTGTAAATCGATTTGGAAAATTCCTTTTGTTACTGAAACGATATACTTACAGATTGCTTTCTTATAAATTTTATAAAAATTTGTTCAGTAGTTTACTTTTTAAATAATTATTCTCAATTTCATTATCCTATAATAATATATGAGAATTAATTATTTTTCATTCTATCCAGATGAATGCACTTCGCTACAACGGGCACGCTCACGGGGCGCCGTTGCCGCGCGGCATCGAAACTCGTGCGCACACAACACAGCTCAGCCACGTGACGCGCTCGTCGCGGCGGACTGCGCCGGCGCACGCCCTCTCCGTCGAAATGCTACAAAGGCACGGCCATATCGACTTCAAACGCTGATGTTTGGTATCGCTGTACGATTAATTATTTAAATCGATTGAATATCGAATCGTACCGAAATGTATTATATCCGTCGAAATGCTGCAAAGACGATATCGATTAATCGATTGAATATCGAATCGTATCAAATGTGTATAGAACGTTTGGGACCGCAGTAATATAAGGTGTTATGTAAGTGACAATTTATAGTGAGATTATTAATCGATCGATTATACAGGTTTAGTAAGTACTCGTTATTTTAATAAGTCGAAAGAAAATGATAGTTTTTACTTAGCAATATTTTAGACCATATATTAATTATATTTGTAGTGATATGTGTTCAAATTATTTTGTAAAATTGTAATCTGTTAATGAAACTATATTCTTCAGGGATACTGGTTTATGTGTTGACTTAATTTATTGCTATTAAAAAAATGATTTTTTTTTAATAATGTATTAATTTAAAAAGGCTACAGGGTTATAGATAGAGTTATTTATACTTTGTAATATCAGACGTAGGGCCAATGACATCGTTTAATTCCTTTGTCACTTAATGAGTAGGTAACCTTCATAGTATATTAATTATATATGTATATATTAATTATATATATCATACATATATATTTATTTATTTAAAGGAACACCAACAGCATACTGCATTGCAACACTTACAACAAACATTAAATATAGTGCAATATTAATGCACATGCCTATTAAAGGTATTCACAGCATTCACTACATCATCATCTTCCTACCCTTATCTCAATCATTTGGGGTCGGCGTAATATGATTTTAATCATATTACAAAAAGATTTTATTTTTAAAAATATGTTGTATGAATTGTTTCGGATATTTAGTAACACGCTGCGATGTAAATTCTGTACTCAGACACACTCTCAAAAAGACTTCCGGATGTATTCGAAATAATTGTCAGTAACGACAAACTAAGCAATTTTATTATATTCCTTTTTTCCTGTTCAAATTCAAATCGTCTTTATTCAAATAGATTTGTTTACAAGCAATTTTAAATCGTATTTTTTTTTTAATCTACTGCAGCGTTCGTGAAGTTGTTATCTGTTGAGAAGAGCCCGCGAGAAACTCAACAGCTACTCTTTTAAATCGCCGTTAACATTATGTGTATTTATTTAAATGAACTATGTTTAAAATTACATAGTCGTTAAAAGCCCGTGCATGATCAATTAACACCATGCACGCTTGTCATTCAATAATGTGTGATAGGCTTTGTTCAATAATAGTATAATAGTATTTATAATAAACAGTTTTATATAAGTATGTAAGATACCGAAGGATATTTTGGATCTATCTTTTATTTTAATAAGTTTAAAACTGTTTATTATATATATATATATATATATATATATATATATATATATATATATATAATATTTGTGGAGTTATATAAGTTTTAAAAATAAAGGAACATATAATTTGATGTCTGCCACAACACACAATAGGGACAATATATTACCTATTGTTACTTGGAAACCGTCTAAACTGACAGTTCTTTGTACTCAGTTAATATTGTAATAGAATGTTATATTTAACAGAAGAAATATTCCGCTGTACTTCAATATTTCGTTCCTAAATTATCTACTACAAACCAGAATTATAAACATGTAATATTATTGTTCGAAATAAAATAAGAAGCACTTGGATAACAGAGAATAAGATTAGACCTCCTAACTTTTTATTATCCCACACATTTTTAGGGTTCCGTAGCTGCCAAAAGAAAAAACGGGACAGTCTCATAAAGCAGTTTTTTTTTTACAACACAGGGGGCAAACGAGCATGCGGCTCACCTGATGGTAAGTGACTACGCCGCCCATGATCACCCACAACACCAGCGGCATTGCAGGTGTGCTGCCGGCCTTTTAAAAAGGAATATACTCTTTTCTTGAAGGTTATGTTGTCGTATCGGTTCGGAAATACTGCTGCTGGAAGTTGATTCCAAAGAATGGTTGTCATAAAGCAGTGAAAAAATCCAATTTCTAAATCGACGGAATCAAAAGATACGACCGTTTATGTTCCTTTTGTATCGTATATTTTGTCTTTCGAAAAGGGAATCAAAACCTATAGGGCACTTCCCGTTGATCTAGAGTCATGCAATTTGACAAGAAGCAATATCATGTTGCACAAGCACAACCTTCAAGAAAAGAGCATATTCCTTTTTAAAAGGCCGGCAGCACACCTGCAGTACCGTTGGTGTTGTGGGTGACCATGGGCGGCGGTAGTCACTTACCATCAGGTGAGCCGCATGCTCGTTTTCCCCTTTATTGTAAAAAAAAAACAAGTAAAGGAAACAATCCGAAAACCGTAAATTTGTAGTTATTTCACAAAAACATAAAAATTTTAACTTGATGATTTTGTACGGAACCCTCGTTGCGCAAGTCCGTCTCACACTTGACTGGATTTTATTTTGTATAACGATAGTATTCCAGCATATGGCCCGTCTAAGGGTAAACAGCAATTACAGTTTATAGCGTAACCTCAAAGAACCTTAGAGATATGAAATTCTCGATTCTCGGTAGCTAGTAATTTCGTGCCATTACCTTACTATTAAGCGTAACATCTTAAATAATTTGTTTCTGGATGAAGTATGTCAGTCAACAGTTGGTATTTCGTTTTTAGGGTCCCGTACCTCCAAAGGAAAAAATGGAACTCTTATAGTATCATTTCGTTGTCCTTCCCTCCGTCTGTCAAGTCCCTTTTTCTTAAGAACGCGTGGAGATATCAAGTTGAAATTAATATCATATACTCAGGTATGTAATCTCTTAAAGCAGTGCAAACATCAAGCTTCTAAATCGACGCAATCAAAAGATATGGCCGTTTGTGTTCCATTCATATCACATATTTTGACATTCGCAAAGGGAATCAAAACCTATAGGATACTTCCTGCTGACCTAGAATCATGAAATTTGGCAAGAAGCGATGTCATGTAGCACAAGTAAAGGCCATCCGAAAATCGTAAATTTGTAGAAAAAAAAAATAAACTTGATGATTTTGTACGGAACCGTCGTTGCGTGAGTCCGACTCGCACTTGACCGGCTTTTTTTAGCTAGATGCCGCTGTGTGTTGTTTTTATCAAAGCGCCTACTGAAAATTATTTTATACTGCTTATCGCTTAAAAGTCTCTTAAAGATATTATAATGTTCAGCTTTTAACATAAGTCTCCTCCTTGGGGGGATTTACCAGTTGCCTGCTGCCACGCTTGGCAGGCGGGTTGAAAACCGCAGTTAGGCTTTGGAGATGTTTTAAGAGGAACGCTGTTGCTCCTCTGCTCCCTTAGTCGGCTCTTATGACAGCTCTTGTATATATATGCTTTATTATACACAAAATATAATGTTAACCACAATTCATTATAAACATAATGTACAAAGGCGAGCTTATCTCTAATAAGAGATTTCTCCCAGCAAACCTTTTCATGTAAATTGGATGTTATTTTAAAAAATAAAAAAGGCCGTCATGCGATCTGCGTACATTGTATGAACACATTCATAAGATATGTATGCACAAAGAATAATACAAAATACACATATACATACATACATATATATATATATATACATATATATTTATACGTATATATATATATATATATATATATATATATATATATATATATATATATATATATATATATATATATATATATATATATATATATATATATATATATACTACTCATATGTTTGTTTTTCTCATAAAGTTTGTGACTAGATACTCCACCCTCTCGTATCTATTACTACTCTATACATTGTTATCCGGATTGGCGACTTCAATAGTTGACACCAACTCGAGCAGATTCTTATCTTTATTCTAAGTTTGCTTTTGGCGTGGTGATGAATTTCAAAGGTGTATTATATTGGCATTTAGATTATTGAATAACGTAAATGCTCGGTTCCTGGTAAAACTTTATAATTATAGGGCAAAGGGCAACCTTCTGATTTAAAGTGAGTGGGTTGAGTAAAAATATTTCGTTAATGAGGTGATAATTTGTATTTAGGTGGATACTAAACAGGGTCGATACCGCCTCTTTAATAAATGCTGGCGCCTTTCACGGGTAGTAACCTGCTCAAGTGGGCATTGGTAATTTTATTTATCGAGAAATTAATTAATTTATGAAAAAAAAAATAGGTACTGATCATCATTTTAGCTATTAAATATGGACTGCTAAACATAGAACTTCTCCATAGAGTGCAATATAAAACGGTCCTGCACCAAGTGCTTCTACTTTTTATTTTTTTTCTGTTTTTTTTTAGGACGACTGTTACTTTATCAATTCTGGTAATCTCTGAAGAGAAAAGAAGAGATTTTTTTAACATAAATATTTCATTTTCCTCTATGGTTTTTCAATCATTTCCTTTCATACCAACCTTCTCCAGATAATTACTTGCCATAGCATTCGACACTGTTTCAGTTCCTATGCTTTTGAGGAAACTCGAGAGTTACGGTATTCGTGGTTTGGGTTTGAACTGGTTCAACAGTTATTTGTCGCAAAGAAATCAATGCATAAAAATAGCGACCTTGAATGTGTGTCCTTCGGTGTTCCTCAGGGAAGTATACTGGGTCCTATCTTGTTTATTTTATATATTAATGACATTTTACATGCCTAGCTACAAAATTGCAATATAATATGTTACGCAGATGATACAGCTTTAATTTTTCACGGACAATCGTGGCAAGAAGTGAAATAATTAACAAAATCTAGTCTTCAACGGGTGTATAAGTGGCTAAATCACAGCCTCCTTGAACTAAATGCTTCTAAAACTCAATTCATGTGCTTCCATAAAACAGCTACATCCCGTCCTCTTTCTACACTGTGTGTGTAGCTGTACTCTTATTTCTTACTCGGCGCAATATCCGGCTCGAAGGACCATTTCTGTGTAGCTCAATACACTCTACTGTAGGATGATTGTTGGATACGTGAATGAAAGAACACTTGTAGAAAAGCATATCTGTTCGGCATGGTAATTGAAGAAAGAGGGTCAGCTGTTGCCATGACATAAAAATAAAATATTAAATATTTCTTGGGTTGCCAACACTGTGTATTCTTAAGCTTTATTCAAATAACTACTGTTTTTCTGATGGTAACTTCTACACCAATTGTAGTTGTAGACAGATTGAAAAAGTTCTCAATCAGGCTCGTTGAAATATCTCGGTATTGAATTAGATGAAAACCTGAACTTCA